TTTATAAACAGCAATTCAAACATAAATCACAATATACTAATTAACATTTTTAATTTAATTTAAATTTAAAAAATTAATTAAATATAAAAATCAGTTTTGTCGTGGCTAATTTGAACGAACTCATTTTACGGACAAGCTGATTTACCATAACACAAGTGCATTTTATATCGGAGCCTTGCAGCCCGGGTCCCTCTTTTGCCTTCTCACTCTTCTCGCCCAATCTCTCTCAGCTTTCACAAATCGCTAGGACACCGTCTTCGATCTCCCAGTCTCATACTCTGTCTCTTCTAATCCTCCAGACTCCCGGGTCTCGCCTCGAGTACTGTGGTTCGGACATCGTTGGTATTGCTCTCTTTCGGGTTACAAAATCAAAGATTAACGGGGTATGAAAATGAAACCGAAGATTTCAACTGCGTCAAGTCACGAAATTGAACTTTAACTATTCGAAAATGGTTTCTATTCCTCAAAATCACCCTGCACTGAGTTTGTTACTCCTCAGTTAAACAACCACCCTTTTCAACTTCAGTTCCATCGTCCCGCGCAAAATCTGCCTTCGACTTCACCACAACCCGTCAAACTCCTTCGTCCCCAAACCAATCATGCGAATGGATTTAGTTTGCAGAAGAAGGAAAACAGGAAAACGAGAAAAAAGGATTTTCCCTGCTCAGAGCACGGTATCTGATGTTTTGCGATTGATGGATGGTCTTGCTTCTCTATACCCATTGACATGTACGTCTCTTTGATAGAAGAGTGTACTGTTTCTGGGGACCCTCATGCAGCCATGGAACTATATGTCCATATAACACAAAGCGGCATTGATCCTCCGTTAAGCTTCCTCAATCGGCTCCTTCTCTTGTTTGCGTCATGTGGCTTAGTGGAGCGTGCACACCACCTGTTTGATAAAATGTCTGTGAGGGATATCAACTCGTGGGCTATATTACTTGTTGCTTATTTTGATAATGCAAATTACGAGGAAGCCATAGGTTTGTTTCTCAACATGCTTGACCAAGTGAGTATTTTGGAGCTGCCCAATTGGATCTTGGTTTGTCTTCTGAAGGCATGTTCGTACAGTATCAATCTCGATCTGGGAAAACAAGTTCATGGGTGCTTAGTCAAGTTGGACATTAGTAACGATGTACGTCTCACTTGCGCATTGATTAGATTCTATGGGAAGTTCAATTGCCTAGAAGACGCAAATATCGCCTTTAACAAGGTAGCTAGACATAACACCTTCACTTGGACAGCAAAAATTGTAAATGATTGCAGAGAAATGCATTTCTACGAGGTTCTCAATGACTTCAAGGAGATGGGAAGGAGAGGAATAAGGAAGAACAGTTTCACAGTTTCTAGTGTTCTTAAAGCATGTGGAAGAATGCCAAGCCATGGGCACTGTGGTGAGCAAGTCCATGCTAATGCTATTAAGCTTGGACTTGCGTTAGATACTTATGTGGAGTGTGGGCTGATAGACATGTATGGAAGATGTGGGTTAGTGAGAGAAGCAAAACTTGTGTTTGAGATGATTCATAATAGGGCAAACGAGGCTTGCTGGAATGCTATGCTTATGGGGTACATGCAAAATGGGTTGTACATTGAGGCTATTAAGCTTTTGTATCAGATGAAGGCAGCTGGATTGCAGCCTCAAGAGTCTCTGCTCAAGGAATTAAGAATTGCTTGTGGTGGCAGTAGAGAAGTGGAATTCACGTAGATAGTTTTGTTTTTTTTAAAAAAAAAAAATTGAATGGACCTTGTAGAGCTGTGTAGAGATATATATATATACACACACTTTTTGATATGTTGATAATTCCATGTTCCTGAGCAAAATAGTTTTACAACTAAGCCCATAAGACGAAATGGATGGAATATTAATCAGTTTTCTACATCTTTTGCTATTGATTTTGCATGACTCAGCTAACTTTATTATAGGGCTGTTTAGTTAATCCCAATGTGAGGATCTGGTGGCTGAAAACAAAAATGGATTTAGGGAAGAAATAGAATTCCTAAAGGGGTGTTTGGATACCCTGAAAAATGCTTCTCAGAAGTATTTTTCCGCAAATCGAGATAAATTCTTCCACATATTTACCTCGTAGACCGTAAAATCACTTTTGAAACCATGGTTTGGTTTCTATCTAAGGGGGTGTTTGGATGAAAACCAAATCATGGTTTCAGAAGTGATTTTACGGTCTACGAAGTAAATATATGGAGGAGTTTATCTCGATTTGCAGAAAAAGTGCTTCTGAGAAGCACTTTTCAGAGTATCTAAACACCCCCTAAAACTAGAACAAGTAGGAAGTAAAATTCCTAAGCAAAGCAGTGAATTGAGTGGGCTGCCTAGCGCTTCAAAAGAGTTAGAAGTGACAGCTAAAGTGTGGTGGAATTTGGGTAAATGGATTGGGAGTTGGGTCTCGTGATGTCGTTAAATGGGCCTAAGGTGTAGCCCAAAACCCAAATGATACCTAGCCCAGATATATGACACCTAATCAACCCGATATGATAAATGGAAAAGAAATTGATTGGCCCCCTGTGTTCTGTGTTCCAATAAAATAAAATAAAATAATTGGGTCAAAGTTATCCGTATTAAGGCTTAATAGCATTTCAAATAAGATTGCTTCTTAAAAAAAAAAATACAAGCAGTTATTAAAAAAAAATTAAAATAAAAGAAAATAAAGTGCAAGTAGATGGGAGTTAATTCCAACAATGCCCCCTCATGAATTCCTTCCTTGCGTTGCCCTACTGATAGAAGTTGTGCCAATCCTCTCAAATGTCCAATGAATCATTATTTAACACAGTCAACTTTTTTCCCACTTAACTCCTAATTAATTCACTTGATCTCAATTAAAGTGCTAAAAGCTCAAGATAGACTATGAGTATATAATAATAATAATAAAAAAGGGATTTATCAACCATATGCTACATACCAACCACTTTCGCAGATCCTCCTCCTCCAGATATAATTCACATGCTTCATTATTAGATTACTAGTTATGCTCTAGTAGTTATTGTTGTAATTCTTCGTTAATTGATTAACACAAGAACAATTCACTAGCGTATCACATAAACGAGTACAAACCTTCTTCATATAAGAAAATCATAGATTATCTTAATTCACATCAACATCAATATGAAAACTTACTGGGGTGCATTTCAAGTTGCATAAATTGGAATACTTTCCTCAGTCATGATATGACAAATTAAAATCCTTCTATATTAAAAACATCAAGACTTCATGTTAACTATTTAAAAAACATTATTCATATCAAGGACATACAGATTGATTACCAAACAACCCATTTGAAAATGTTTGACAAACTCTTGCAAATACACCCATAAGAAAAATTAAAAATAGATTCATTGTACAAATTCAAGCAATAGGCTGGCAAAACAATGATATTATACGTTTCTTGGTTTCATCATCTTGAACAATATGGCCATCTCCATGTTGGTACATGCACAGGCACATCCTTACAAGGTTCACTGCAACTTCCATGAAACTCGTTGAATAAGAGGAATTGCTAACTTCTTTATTCATCTTCTTCCAAGTTTCACCTATCAAGGAATTTATGTGCCTATGAGCTTTAGCTTCAGAAGCCCCAGTTTCATTCATGATTCATGTAACACTCAACTGATTTGGGTACGTCTCCCGTCACCTTTTCCCGCTGCAAAATTAAAGATTCGTAGGAAATAAGTACCATATTTCATGTAATATATTTATTGGTTAATTAAATATGAAAGGACTGTGTAATGATACCTTTGCTGTCCCCAAATCATTGACAAGGCGCAAAATGGTTGATACACAGCGAATAACATTAGAATATTCTTCAAACCGAATCGAATCCTCCTTCGAAAATAAGCATGAAAACGTACGACTGGTCCACTTCTTGAAATCCATGCATTTTCTAGGTACTCAGGAAAGCTGGGTTTATAATCATTACGGTGCCATGTTGCCTCAACCAGATCTGATTTTTTCAAATGGAATGGACATTGGGTCTCGTGGGGTAGTTAAATGGGCCTAAGGTGTGGCCCAAAACCTAAATGATACCTCTCATTTATATGATGCCTAACCAACCCGATATGATAAATGGGAAATAAATTGATTGCCCACCTGTGTCCCGTGTTCCAAAAAAATAAAATAAAATAATTGAGGTGAGAGTTAATCATATTTAAAGCTTGACAAGGTTTCAAATAAGATTGCTTCTGATAGAAAAATATAAGTACTTATAAAAAAAATTAAAATAAAAGGAGATAAAGTGCTAGTGGATGGGAGTTAATTCCAACAATGCCCCTTCACCAATTCCTCGTCATGCCCCATTTAAGCTTGCCTTGCGTTGTCCTACTGATAGAAGTTGTGCCAATCCTCTCAAATGTCCAATTAATCATTATTTAACAAAGTCAACTTTTTTCCCAATTAACTCCTAATTAATTCACTTGAACCCAATTAAAGTGCTAAAAGCTCAAGATAAACCATATATAATAATAAAAAAGGGATTTATCAACCATATGCTACATACCAACCAATTTTGCAGATCCTCCTCCAGATACAATTCACATGCTTCATTATTAGATTACTAGTTATGCTCTAGTAGTTATTGTTGTAATTCTTCGTTAATTGATTAACACAAGAACAATTCACATCAACATCAATATGAAACTTATTGGGATGCATTTTAAGTCGCATAAATTGGAATACTTTCCTCATTCATGATATAACAAAATAAAATCCTTCTATATTAAAAACATCAAGACTTCATGTTGACCATTTAGAAAACATTATTTATATCAAGCACTTACAGATTGATTACCAAACAACCCAATTGAAAATGTTTGACAAACTCTTGCAAATACACCCATAAGAAAAATTAAAAATAGATTCATTGTATAAATTCAAGCAATAGGCTGGAAAAACAATGATATTATACGTTTCTTGGTTTCATCATATTGAACAATATGGCCGTCTCCATGTTGGTACATGCGCAGGCACATCCTTACAAGGTTCACAGCAACTTCCATGAAACTCTTTGAATAAGAGGAATTGCTAACTTCTTTATTCAAATTCTTCCAAGTTTCACATATCAAGGAATTTATGTGCCTATGAGCTTTAGCTTCAGAAGCTCCAATTTCATTCATATAACACTCAACTGATTTGGGTATGTCTCCAGTCACCTTTTCCAGCTGCAAGATTAAATATTCGCAGAAAATAAGTACCATATTTCATGCAATATACTTATTGGTTAATAGAATATGAAAGGACTGTGTCATGATACCTTTGCTGTTCCCAAATCATTGAGAAGGCGCAAGATGGTTGATACATAGCGAATAACATTATAATATTCTTCAAACCGAATCGAATCCTCCTAATTGGTAGAACTAGGAAGTAGAAAATAAGCATGAAAAAGTACGACTGGTCCACTACTTGAAATCCATGCATTTTCTAGGTACTCAAGAAAGCTGGGTTTATAATCATTATGGTACCATGTTGCCTCAACTAGATCTGATTTACAGAGATCAACCCACTGAAAAAAAAATTGAACACAATAATTGACATATAAAATTAGCAAGGGTTAAAGTCTAATTTTGCCTCACAAGTTTACATGTAGAAGTTATGTGGATATCTACAAGTTTTTGTTGGATCAATATCATCCAAAAAATATTAGAAAAAGAAGCAAAATCGCTCCACTCGTTAGAAAAATAACATTGACAGTTAACATGTTTGACAATTAGGGCCAATATTACCCTTTTTTTCACTTCCAAAGCAATATTGATTCAACAAAAACTCATAGATACAAACAACTATGTGAAAACTTCCATAGCAAAATTGCACCTCAACCCAATTAAAATACATCATGATTAAAATTATTTATATTATACTACATCTAGTCATTAATATAAGAGTTAATTAGGATTTGGATTTGGTCCTAAATAAAAGATTTCAATCCACTTTGTCTTCCAAATTTATAATTTATTATTTAAAATATCTCTATTGATTACATATATAAATGTGTTTTCATTTAAAGGTAATTATGATTACAAAGGGTATTATAGAAAAATCAACTCATATTTTTATCAATAACTAACTTAATTAATTTTTTTAATCCATCCAAATTATATTAAGGGCGGGAGATAGTATAAAATAAGAAAAGATGCAACCGATGAATTATATCGAAGTATACCACTTTCTTAATGTGTGGAATGATGTTGCGTCCATTTTCTTAGAGGAAGTCAAAAGCCACTTCATTGACAAAGTTATTAAGTGCAAGGAAACAAATTTTCATGTAGTCTGGAAGTTCATCCATGGCATTGACGTCCCATCTATGTCATAAAAGAGGTATAAAATGGCAACAAATATTGGGACACTTATACATACATAGATACGTATATTTATCATAAAGATAACATGTTTACCTGTTTACCACTTCTGTGAAAAGCTTTAGTTCTTCCAAACTGCCGTGAACATCATACATATCATCAATTCTAGTTATCATTGCAAAAACCTTTGAAACCACTCTTCTAAAATATCCAAATTGTGGTTGAAAAGCCAAACCCACTGTCCCCATGAGGTTCTCAACCATTCTATCCCTTACAAAACTCAGCTTTTCTCCGAGTCCAGTTCTTTTCCACCATCTTCAAATATAAAAGCATCAAGTAAAAAAGATCGGCTTAGTAGTATGCATATTTTCTCTTTGTTTTTTTTTTTTTTTAATGTTTTGAAGTTCTAGAGCTTAGCAAACTTCTCGGAGTTCCATCGATTTTCACAACTGAAAAGAAAACCATTGAGAAATTTGTTTGAAACTCATAATATTATCAGGTTGAATTAACTAACGAATTTTTTTTTATATTTATCAAAGAAATTCCGTGGAGATTGAAAATTTCACTTGAAAATATTCAATCAATAAAATGTAAATCATTGTAAGAGTTCTAATCAGGTCTAGAAACAGTCAAAGTTTCCTAACAGGGCCGAATTTGTATAATTATTTTCACCTTAACACTTGTTTCATATCCTCTTGGTCAGTAGCTTGTAAGATGTTGAAGTCCAATTTAGCAAGTTTGAGCAGAGTGGGGCTCATGTTCAGTCTTCTTTCATAAAAATGGATGAATCACCGAGTTTCTAATCTTGATACCCTCCAATACAGTGGAAGCTCTCGGGCATGACTAACCAAAAGTGATATTTCATCATCTTCGTAGCTTTTCTTCACAAATGCTTTAAGATGAATTGAGCTAAACTCTCTTGCTTTATCCAAAACTACTTCACCTTCAATTGAAAGGAAAGAAGCTTCATACAATGATAACATACGCTTGATATCGCTCGAAAGGCAAGAACGGAAATTACCATTGTAATCTAAGAATCCATCAAATGTCCCTGAAAATAACCATGCAATTACAAATTGAATAATTGTTAGCATTAGAAAAATAATTATATTCTCCATAATAATGCTTGATTTCTGTGAACTTTATGCTCTATAAGCGAATAAAATATATACCTGATGACACACCATAATAGCTTTGTTGTCACAAGAGTCTAAATTCAAGAGCCACGGCGTATAAATTGTTACTTATGCTTGATGTTTCATTATTGCAAATATTTTCCAATATATTTCTTTTCTGTTGGCTAAAATGATAAGCCACTCCCGGTCTTTCCATGTCATCAATGACCTCTAATTGTTCCACAGGATTTGTCAATGTCAAGAGCATCAATCTTGCTTCTTCCTTCAACTGATCTCTTTCTTCTAGATATGTTTCTTCCTTCAAATAATTAGTATATAATAATTAGAAAATCGATTTTGCACAGAAAAACAATATATGATCATGATATGAAATAAATTTCAATAAAGCAAGTAAAAGAATGAACGTGAAAGAAGCCATACCACAAAATCATTTCTTATTGATTGGATATAATCATAATCCCAAATTGAAGGTTGAAAGTGATTTGCAGAACCACGAGAAGTGTTTTTTTTATTAGAATCACTAAAGGTCGAAGCCTTGCATTGGATTGTCGGAGGAAAACAAGAGCTCCTGATTGCTGAAAGTAGAGGTATTGATTTTGACTTGGGAACTTCGGTTTTGAAGATAATACTGTTTGAAAGCAAGGGAAATTGGTAGAAAGCCATTGGAGTGAAATGAAAACGCTTCTGCTTAGTTTTACTTTATTTTGCAATGGAACTTCAGTTCTCTTTTTTATATTGGGTTAAGGTATAATTTTAATTCTGATATTATTTCTTAGGTGCAATTTCGCTTTTGATCTTTTTAACATACAATTTTGACCCTAATCTTTTTTTAATACAATTTTGACCTTCAGGAGCAAAATTGCACCAAAAAATCAGAAGCAAAATTACACTAAAAAAAAGATCATAGGCAAAATTGCAAATGAAAAATAAGATCATGGACACAAACTCGCACCACTAAAAAATTGGAGCAAAATTACACCTGAGAAATGAGATCAGGATCAAGATTGCTCCTTAACTTTTTTTATATTTGGTATGAATGTTTTAAAACCATTACTGGTCTTTTTGCCAGTTTGGATTTTTTAAAAATACTCTAACCTTTCTTACATTTTGTCTCACACCAAATCCCTAATTTTGGCTGAAATTATTTTGAAGAAGAATTTTCCTTTTCTCTTCCTTAATTTCAAATTTTCTTTTCGCAAAAAGTTATTTGCTTATTGTTTTTATCTACTGGGATAGAAGTTCAAGTAATTTAGTTAAAATAGATATAAAAGCTTGATTGAAAATTTGATTAATTCTTTTAATTAATATATACTTGATTAAATGTGTTTATAAGTGTTTGTAGTAAAAAATATATTTAAAATTTTTAAATTTAAATTACTTATTACTTGTATAATCTCTTAAACTTAACTCATTTATACTATATGATAAAAAAAAATATGCATTTGAGATACAGTTTTAGTTGTTGTTTAAATTTTTTTTTTAAAAAGTAAGTTTCAATAAATATGATGAACATAACATAATAAAATTTTTGTAATACGATCAAAACTAATAATTTTATAAAATATTAAAAATTTTGAAAATATATGTATTAAAATTATTAGTTTGGTTGTATAGAAAAGTAATTTTTTTGTCAAATATAAATATCTAAATAATTCTTAATCAACAGTTAACTAATATTGGGTGCATAGAAATAAAATCTGTTACTGTTAGGGTGATTTGCCTATCAAACATTTTTAATTTTTAGAGATGTGTGTGTGTGTGTGTGTATTTTTAAAGTAGGAAGGATGTTTCTATAATTTAGATAAAATAGAGGGGTGGTTATTATCTTTTACTCTTAAATTTTATATGTCAACAATACAAGACAAAATGTATTACTGAATTTGGAAACTGGGACGAAGGTGTTGACATCAAAGTAGCAAGCATTTTTTTTCCCAATGAAGTAGAGCAATCATGCATCACTCTTACTTCTTCCTAATTAATTAATCCATTTCTGTGATCATTCAATAATAAACTTTAGAAAAAAAATTATTGTGTTGAAGCCAAAATGAAACCAAACATTAAATGCATAGAAAGAAAATTTAAAAGATTAAGCAAACGCATGGATCTGGAAGTTCCAAATCACACGAAAAACAAGTTCATTTATTATTTTCATGGGTAGGGTTGTGGTTTGTGATATTTTTATATCTTTTATCCACAAACTTCTTTGTTAGGATACCTTAACTTTAACGCTCCCCATCCAACAGAAATTAGTTTCAAGCCCATTTTTGGGCTTGAAAATACTTTAAGTTATACAAACAAAAACTTACATTATGGTTTAGGGTCCATACGTCACTTCTTTCCTCTGTCGAAGATCATGGAGGGTTCATATACAGAGGCAGGGGATGATTCGGATATTCTCCAAGTGACATCGTTTCAGTTTTAGATATAAAATTCCTTTCCCTTTCTCAATAATGCATTGGCAAAACGAGAACGTACGTGAACGATGGGGAACGAAAACTTTTAAAAATAATTTAAATGCATCCATAAAAGAATATGTTGGGTTTGAAATTGTATGTTTAATACTTGTTATCAATCATTTTTTGAAAAGAATTTTGCTGATTTTAAAAAGAAACTATAACATGCATGAGAAAAAGTTATTGGATATATTAAATTCTTTATAATAATATAGAATTAGAAAAACTCAAAAACATACAAAGAAAGCGATCTTAACCCACCACCCCAGCAGGAGGGACGATAGATGTTTTGTAGCAAAGTTGGTAAAATGGAATTTGATCCCACTACCTTTTACTACATCTCAAAAAAATTATATAGCCCTTGTCCTATTAATACTTGACAAAATAGTGCAAAATAATTATACAAGTTAACTACTAAGTTTTGAGCACAGGAGATTTGCAACTCTTGTAATTAATGTATCTTGATTTTTCTAAACTACCATATTTTAATTATACGCAAAGTCTTGATTGGAAGCCTCCTTAATGTATTGAATCAAAAGAAATACTTTAAGTGAAAAATTATAAGTTTGAGAAACAAAATGAACTAAAATCTTATATTTAGAATCAAAATGAACCAATTGTTCAACTCTTATATTTAGGAACAGAGATAATATCTCTTTCCACCATCTTCACATTGACAATACTAAATCGGTATTAGTATATGCTAATGTTCTGTTGGCTTTCTATGAAGAACTTGGCATGGTAAAATTCTTTTAGCGCTTATTATTATTGGCGAAATGTTTGATTATCTCGCTGTACTAAGCGTTGCAGAGGTTGATGAACCATCATGAATATTATTAATATAGGATTGTGGATTCTCAAGGCCCTTTGCCACAATTTATTTGAAAAACAGGAGTGATATGTAGTTGCAAGTTTGGAAACAAGTACAGAAAAATGGAGAAGAGGAGTGCGTGAAACAGCGTCCGAACAATGGAGTGTTTTGGGGCTGGTTTAGTTAATCCCAATGTGGTTGACAACAAATATGGAATTAGGGAAGAAATAGAATTCCTAAACCTATAGCAATTGGGAAATACAATTCTTTTTTTCGAATTAAAAGGGCAGGCACTAATGACCTGAGATAGCAAGGTAAGATCGAACTCATGACCTCCCACTTATATGTCACTAGTACAAAGCCATAGGCAATAAATACAATTTCTAGTCCTTGGAACGAATTAAGGGCATGGCTAGTGCTTCCAATGAAAGTAACGGCTGAAGTATGGTGGAATTTGCTTAAATGGAATGGAAGTTGGACCTCATGTAAGGTGTGGCCTAAAACCTGTAGATCCCAATAATATAAAATGAAAAGTGCAAGTGGAACCCCTCATCCATGGGTTCAGCTGGTGAAAGGGTCAGACTCTCTCATCAAAGGAAGAGGGTTTGATCCTGGGGAGTGCCACTTTGTTGTGGCTCCAGTTGTAGTACTGGAGGAGGCATCTCTACAGTGTAGTGAAGTTGAGTGATTCCTACCTATTGGGCCAAAAAAAAAAAGACTTGCTTATCATGCTCCTGTGCCTGTATGGACAAGTCCCACTGGATCAAGCATTAGGTGCCCTACCCTTAGATTGTGGGTGAGCCCAACCTCTTTCCTAAAAATTTTGTACCAAAAAAAAAAGTGGAAGTGGATGAGAGCTAATT